GTCCTGGTCCTGGTTTGTGTACTGGTCCTGGTCTTCGTCTTGGTCCCTGGTCCTTGGTCCTGGTCTGGTCTGGTCGCGGTTCCTGTCCTGTCCTGGTGCGCTGGAAGGTGCTGGTCCTGGGAGCTGGGACTGTTGCCGGTGCCTGTGCGGTTGATTTTACTGATGGTGGCAATTGTGACTGTCCTGGTGCTTAGGCTGGTCCTGGTGCTGGTGCTTGTTCTTGGTGCTGGTGCTTGTCGCTTGACCCAGTGCTTGTGCTGGTGTTGGTGCTGGTAATGGTGATGGTGCTGGTGCTTGGCTTACCATGCTTGTGCTGTTTGGTGCTGGTACAATGGTGATGGTGCTGGTGCTTGCGCTGACCCAGTGCTTGTCTTGGTGTTGGGCTGGTATGGTGTGTCTGGTGCTTGCTTACCCGTGCTTGTGCTGGTGTTGGTGCTGAGTGATTGGTGCTGGTGGCTGGTCGCTGGTGCTTAGGTCTCTGCGGCTTAGGCTGTTTGCTGGTGCTGTTGCTTTACCTGGTACCTGGGGCCGTGCCAGCGCTTGTGCTGGTGCCTGAACTAGTGATGGAGCTGGTGCTGGTGCTGGTTCAGGTGCTAGGCTAGCGCTGCTGCTGGTTCTGTGCTGGTGGTGGTGGTGGTGCTGTTGCTTGTGCTTACCCAGTGCTTGTGCTGGTGTTGGTGCTGGTGTTGGTGCTGGTGCTGGTGCTGGTACTGGTGCTAAGGCTGGTGCTGGTGCTGATGCTGTTGTATCTGCTTGAGCCTGGGCTGGTGGCGGCGCTTGTTCTGGTGCCTGTACTAGTTAAAGAGCTGGAGCTGGTGCTGCTGCTGGAGCTGTGCTGTCTGGTGCTGGTCCTGGTGCTGGAGCTGGGACTGGTGCCGGTGCCTGTGCGGTTGATTTTTTACTGATGGTGGCAATTGTGACTGTCCTGGTGCTTAGGCTGGTCTGGTGCTGGTGCTTGTTCTGATGCTGGTGCTTGTGCTTGACCCAGTGCTTGTGCTGTGTTTGATGCTGGTAATGGTGCTGGTGCTGGTGCTTGCGCTCTTGACCCAGTGCTTGTGCTGGTGTTGGTGCTGTGTTGGTGATGTGCTGCTCTGGTGCTGGGCTAAGGCTGCGGCTTAGGCTTGTTGCTGGCGCTGTTTGCTTTTACCTGGACCTGGGCCGGTGCCAGCGCTTGTGCTGGTGCCTGAACTAGTGATATAGCTGGTGCTGGTGCTGGTTCAGGTGCTTAGGCTAGTGCTGCTGCTGGTTCTGGTGCTGGTGGTGGTGGTGGTGCTGGTGCTTGTGCTTGACCCAGTGCTTGTGCTGGTGTTGGTGCTGGTGTTGGTGCTGGTGCTGGTGCTGGTGCTGGTGCTTAGACCTGGTGCTGGCGCTGGAGCTTGTGCTGGTGCTGATACTGTTGCTTTTGCTGGCGCCTGGGCCGGTGCCAGCGCTTGTGCTGGTGCCTGTACTAGTGGTGGAGCCGGTGCTGGTGCTGGTTCTGGCGCTTAGGCTGCTTCTGGTGCTTGTGGTGGTGCTGGTGCTGGTGGTAGTACTGCTGCTTGTGCTTGACCCAGTGCTTGTGCTGGTGTTGGTGCTGGTGCTAGCGCTGGTGCTGGAGCTGTTGGTGGTGCTTGTGCTGATGCTTAGGCTGGTGCTGGTGGTGGTATTGCTGCTTGTGCTTGAGCCAGTGCTTGTGTTGGTGTTGGTGCTGGTGCTGGCGCTGGTGCTGTTGCTGGTGCTGGTTGTGGTGGTGGTGCTTGAGCTTGACCTAGTGCTTGTGCTGCTGTTGGTGCTGGAGCCTGTGCCTGTCCTGGTGCTTAGATTGGTGCTGGTCCTGGTGCTAGTTCTGGTGCTTAGGCTGGTGCTGCTGCTGGTGCTGGAGCTGGGACTGGTGCTGGTGCCTGTGTGGTTGCTTTTGCTGATGGTGGCAATTGTGCCTGTCCTGGTGCTTAGGCTGGTCCTGGTGCTGGTGCTGGTTGTGGTGCTGGTGTTTTTGCTTGACCCAGTGCTTGTGCTGGTGTTGGTGCTGGTAATGGTGCTGGTGCTGGTGCTTGCGCTTACTTGACCCAGTGCTTGTGCTGGTGTTGGTGCTGGTGTTGGTGATGGTGCTGGTGCTTAGGCTGGTGCTTAGGCTGTTGCTGGTGCTGATGCTGTTGCTTTTTGCTGGTACCTGGGCCGGTGCCAGCGCTTGTGCTGGCGCCTGTACTAGTGATGGAGCTGGTGCTGGTTCAGGTGCTTAGGCTAGTGCTGCTGCTAGTTCTGGTGCTGGTGGTGTTGGTGGTGCTAGTGCTTGTGCTTGTGCTTGACCCAGTGCTTGTGCTGGTGTTGGTGCTGGTGTTGGTGGTGGTGCTGGTGCTTTGGCTAGTGCAGGTGTTGGTACTTGTGCTGGAGCCGGTGCTTGTGCTGGTGCTGTTTCTGGTGCTAGTGCTAGTACTGGTCATGTTGCTGGTGCCTGTACTGTTGCTGCTTCAGGTGCTGGTGTTGGTGCTGGCGTTTGTGCCTATCCTAGTGCTGGTGTTGGTGGTGATGGTGGTGATGGTGGTGCTGGTTCTGCTGGTGGTACTTGTGCTGTACCCAAAGCTTGTGCCTGTCCTTGTGTTGGTGCTTGTGCTGGCGCTTGTGCTGGTGCTTGTACTAGTGCTGCAGCTAGTGCTTGTTCTGCTGCTGGTATTGGACCGGGTGCTTGTGCTGGTGGTGGTGTTTGTGCTGTTGTTGGTGCATGTTCTGTTGCTTATACTACTGCTGGTGGCTGTGCTGGACCCTGTGCTTGTGCTGGTGCAGGAGCAGGTGCTGGAGCTGGTGATGGTGCTGATGCTGCTGCTTCTTCTTAGGCCGATACTTGGGACGGTGCTGGCACTTGGGCTGGTGCCTCTACTAGTGCTGGAGCTGTTGCTGGTGCTGGTGCTTGGGCTGGTGCTGCTGTGGTGAATCCTAGACATTAGGTAATCACTAAAAGGACATTATTTCCTCAAGTATAATATTAGACATTACACACGCTGTCGTCAAACAGTGCTTTTTTTGTTTTGTATTCAACGCGACTAATTGCTTGTCTGACGCATTATAAATAACTTTGTTATGATTGTACGTTGTTTAACCTAGTTTTAGAAAATCACGTAATTTTTGTTGATGTTTTGACCTGGTTTCTATGACCAGGGTAATTAAAAAATTTGCTTAAATAGAGTGCAATTCTCAGTAAATTTCAGATAGGATTTGTGGTTGCCTCACATACGAATGTATTTTCTGTGAGCATAATCATCATAATCAGGACTATTTCTCAAGATATATTTAGTGTCACTGGGAGTTTCTACGCAAAAACAGGGCTTAGTACGAGACTACAGGAAATTCCCCACACTGCTGCTGGTTGTGGTGATGGTGCTAGTGCTGGAGCTGGTTCAGGTACGGTTGCTGGTACCTGTGCTGGTACTGGTGTTAGTGCTGGTGGTAGTGTTTGTGCTGTTGCTGGTGCTGTAGCCTGTGCTGTTGCCTATAATAGTTCTTGTGTTTGTGCTGGACCCTGTGCTTGTGCTTGTGATGGTGCTGGTGATGAGGCTGGTGCTGGGGCTGGTGCTGGGGCTGGTGCTGGCGCTTTTGCCTGTCCTGTTTCTCGTGCTGGTGCTGGTGCTGGTTGTGGTGCTGGTGCTGGTGCTGATACTTGTGCTTCACCCAGTTCTTGTGCTGGTGTTGGTGCTGGTGCTGGTGCCTGTGTTGTTTGTTTTTGCTAATGCTGGCGCTTGTGCCTGTCCTGGTGCTTAGGATGGTGCTGGTGCTGGTGCTTGTGCCTGTGCTGGTGGTAAGGCTGGTGGTGGTGCTTGTGGTGGTGCTGGTGGGGGTGCTGGCGCTGGTGCCTGTCCTGGTGCTTAGGCTGGTTCTGGTTCTGGTGCTGGTGCTGGTGCTGGTGCTGGTGTTGGTGCTAGTCCTGGTGCTGAGGCTGATGCTGCTGCTGGTGCTGGAGCTGGTGCTGGTGTGCTGTGCCTGTGTGTGTTGCTTTTGCTGATGCTTGGATTGTGGCCTGTCTTGAATCTTAGGCTGGTGCTAGTGCTGGTGATGGTGCTGGTGGTGGTCCTGGTGCTTAGGCTGGGGCTGCTGCTGGTGCTGCTGCTGGTGCTGGTGCTCGTGCTGGTGTTGGTGTTGGTGCTGATGCTGGTGCTTGTGCTGGTGCTTGTGCTTCATCAAGTTCTTGTGCTGGTGCTGGTGCTGGTGCTGGTGCTAGTGCTAGTTCTGGTGCTGATGGTGGTGCTGGTGCTAGTGCTGGTGCTAGTTCTGGTGCTTGTGCTTGACCCAGTGCTTGTGCTGGTGTTGGTTCTGGTGCTGGTGCTTAGAATGATGCTGTTGCTGGAGCTTGCGCTGGTGCTGATGCTGTTCCTTTTGCTGCTGCCTGGGATGGTTCTTCCGTTTGTGTTCGTGCCTGTACTAGTGGTGGAGCTGGTGCTGGTGCTGTTGCTTTAAATGATGCTGGCGCTTGTTCCTGTCCAGGTGCTTAGGCTGGTGCTAGTGCTGGTGGTGGTGCTGCTGGTGGTCCAAGTGCTTAGGCTGGTGCTATTGCTGGTGCTGGTGCTTGTGCTTTACCCAGTTCTTGTGCTGGTGCAGGTGCTGGTGCTGGTGCTGGTCCTGGTCCTGGTCCTGGTCCTGGTGCTGCTGCTGGTGCTGGTCCTGGTGCTGGAGCTGGGACTGGTGCCGGTGCCTGTGCGGTTGATTTTACTGATGGTGGCAATTGTGACTGTCCTGGTGCTTAGGCTGGTCCTGGTGCTGGTGCTTGTTCTGGTGCTGGTGCTTGTGCTTGACCCAGTGCTTGTGCTGGTGTTGGTGCTGGTAATGGTGCTGGTGCTGGTGCTGGTGCTTGCGCTTGACCCAGTGCTTGTGTTGGTGTTGGTGCTGGTGATGGTGCTGGTACTGGTGCTGGTGCTTAGGCTGCGGCTTAGGCTGTTGCTGGTGCTGTTGCTTTTACCTGCTACCTGGGCCGGTGCCAGCGCTTGTGCTGGTGCCTGAACTAGTGATGGAGCTGGTGCTGGTGCTGGTTCAGGTGCTTAGGCTAGTGCTGCTGCTGGTTCTGGTGGTGGTGGTGGTGATGGTGCTGGTGCTTGTGCTTGACCCAGTGCTTGTGCTGGTGTTGGTGCTGGTGTTGGTGCTGGTGCTGGTGCTGGTACTGGTGCTAAGGCTGGTGCTGGTGCTGATGCTGTTGTATCTGCTTGAGCCTGGGCTGGTGGCGGCGCTTGTTCTGGTGCCTGTACTAGTTAAAGAGCTGGAGCTGGTGCTGTTGCTGGTTCTGGTGCTGGTGCTGGTGGTGCTTGTGCTAGTGCCTGTGCCGTTGCTTGTGCCTGTGCTGGTGTTTGTGCTGGTGCTGGTGCCTGTGCTGATGGTGGTTTTGATGCTGTTTCTGGTGCTTGTGCCTGTGCTTTTGCCTATACTACTGCTGCTGTTTGTGCTGGACCAGGTGCTTGTGTTGGTTCTGACGCTGGAGCGGGTGATAGTGCTGGTGCTTGTGTTGGTGCTGATGCTGGTGCTGGTGCTTGTGCTTCTACCTGTCTTGGTGCTTAGGCTGGTCCTGGTGCTGGTGCTGGTTCTTGTGCTGGTGTTTGTGCTTGACTCAGTGCTTGTGCTGGTGTTGGTGCTGGTACTGGTGGTGGTGCTGTTGCTTGTGCTGGCCCCGCTTCTTGTGCTGGTCCTGGTCCTGGTCCTGGTCCTGGTCCTGGTCCTGGTCCTGGTCCTGGTCCTGGTCCTGTTCTTGGTCCTGGTCCTGGTTCTGGTCCTGGTCCTGGTCCTGGTCCTTGTCCTTGTCCTGGTCCTGGTCGTGGTCCTGTTCTTGGTCTTGGTCCTGGTCCTGGTCCTGGTCCTGGTCCTGGTCCTGGTCCTGGTCCTGGTCCTGGTCCTGGTCCTGGTCCTGGTCCTGGTCCTGCTGGTGCTGGTCCTGGTGCTGGAGCTGGGAATGGTGCTGGTGCCTGTGCGGTTGCTTTTGCTGATGGTGGCAAATGTGACTGTCCTGGTGCTTAGGCTGGTCCTGGTGCTGGTGCTGGTTCTGGTGCTGGTGCTTGTGCGTGACCCAGTGCTTGTGCTGGTGTTGGTGCTGGTAATGGTGCTGGTGCTGGTGCTTGCGCTTGACCCAGTGCTTGTGCTGGTGTTGGTGCTGGTGTTGGTGCTGGTGCTGGTGCTGTTCCTGGTGCTGGTGCTGGTGCTGGTGCTGGTCCTGGTCCTGGTGCTAGTTCTGGTGCTTAGGCTGGTGCTGCTGCTTGTGCTGGTTCTGGTGCTGGTGTTTGTGCTTGACCCAGTGCTTGCGCTGGTGTTGGTGATGGTGCTGGTGCTGGTGCTGGTGCTGGTGCTGGTGCTGGTGCTTAGGCTGGTGCTGGTGCTGATGCTGTTGTATCTGCCTGAGCCTGGGCTGGTGGCGGCGCTTGTTCTGGTGCCTGTACTAGTAAAAGAGCTGGAGCTGGTGCTGTTGCTGGTTCTGGTCCTGGTGCTGGTGGTGCTGGTGCTAGTGCCTGTGCCGTTGCTTGTGCTTGTGCTGGTGTTTGTGCTGGTGCTGGTGCCTGTGCTGATGGTGATGTTGATGCTGGTTCTGGTGCTTGTGACTGTGGTTCTGCCTATACTAGTGCTGGTGTGTGTGCTGGACCTGGTGCTTGTGTTGGTTCTGACGCTGGAGCGGGTGATAGTGCTGGTGCTTGTGTTGGTGCTGATGCTGGTGCTGGTGCTTGTGCTTCTACCTGACTTGGTGCTTAGGCTGGTCCTGGTGCTGGTGCTGGTTCTTGTGCTGGTGGTGTTGGTGGTGCTGGTGCTGGTGCTGGTGCTGGTGCTGGTCCTGGTGGAGGTCCCAGTGCTAGTTCTGGGCTTTGGCTGGTGCTGCTGCTGGTGCTGGAGCTGCGACTGGTGCTGGTGCCTGTGCGGTTGCTTTTGCTGATGATGGCAATTGTGCCTGTACTGGTGCTTAGGCTGGTCCTGGTGCTTGTGCTTGACCCAGTGCTTGTGCTGGTGTTGGTGCTGGTGCTGGCGCTGGTGCTGGTGCTGGTGCTGGTGCTGGTGCTGGTGCTGGTGCTTAGGCTGGTGCTGGTGCTGGTGGTGGTACTGCTGCTTGTGCTTGACCCAGTGCTTGTGCTTGTGTTGGTGCTGGTGCTGGCGCTGGTGCTGGAGCTGGTGCTGGTGCTGGTTGTAGTGGTGGTGGTGGTGGTTGAGCTTGAACCAGTGCTTGTGCTGCTGTTGGTGCTGGTGCTGGAGCTTGTCCCTGTCCTGGTGTTTAGGTTGGTGCTGGTCCTGGTGCTAGTTCTGGTGCTTAGGCTGGTGCTGCTGCTGGTGCTGGAGCTTGGACTGGTGGTGGTGCCTGTGCGGTTGCTTTTGCTGATGGTGGCAATTGTGCCTGTCCTGGTGCTTAGGCTGGTCCTGGTGCTGGTGCTGGTGCTGGTGCTGGTGCTTGTGCTTGACCCAGTGCTTGTGCTGGTGTTGGTGCTGGTGTTGGTAATAGTGCTGGTGCTGTTGCTGGTTGGCTGGTGTTTAGGCTGTTGCTGTTCTGATGCTGTTGCTTTTTGCTGGTACCTGGGCCGGTGCCAGCGCTCGTGCTGGTGCCTGTACTAGTGATG